CTTAGAATACATAGAATATGTATAATTCCTATATTATGCACACAGGTCCAGTATTTGATACCTATATACATATATATATATATATATATATATATATATATATATATATATATATATATATGTATGTGTGTGTATTGTGTATATACACAACATAAAAACATATGCCCAACCCTTAATGATATGTGTGCATATATGGCCACATATCAGATATGGACTGTCATAAGAATACAAAATAAGTATAATTTTAAATGAATATAGATTTAAATTGGCATATTTTGATGGATTTTGAGTATCTCATTAGGTTGAATGGGATTTTGGCCAAAATTGTGCAAAACTTATCCAGCCTAACAGCTGTAGCTATAAAAGAGTGCATTTTTGGGTGGAGCACAGATAGAACAGTTTTGGTCCCAGAGGGCCTAAGATGAGCACAGTGGGAATATTTCCTTGCTTAAATACCTACTAAACTTAGTAACTAACTGTCAGATTAAATTGGGTTTAATTTAAAAATCACAGAAACGTGCTGGACTAAGACCCTCAAGGTCCAGAGCTTTAGACCCTTTCTTTATAAAGAAAATGGATCAGTTACAGTTAGTGAAATTCCATTCAAAGCCTGTTACACTATTGGAGGACGGCAGAAGCTTGAAGGACAGCACTGTTACGTTCAGTACCAAAAGGCTGCAGATGGATTAGAGTGAATGGGCGTTAATCCACTGTGGTAAAGTCTCTTTGCTAAAATGTGCCTCTCTCAGAACACTGAACAGATGATGTAAAGGGATGTTCCAGCATTCTTCAACCTAATCTGTCAATCTTTGTCAAAAACCACAGACAATAATTTTGATGTGTTTCCATTCACTTGCAGCTCACTTATAATAGACACCAATGGGAATTGTTTGAAATACAGTACAGTGAGACCACCCTTCATGTATTAGATTTCCTGTCAAAATGGCCATAAAGCATATCGCTGTTGTTGGAAGAAAACCTCGTATCTCCAAAATGGTAACTTTACAGGAGAAGGAAAAAACATACTTTATTTTAATGTAAGTCAGTGGAACCAGACATTTTTCCAAGTCATTTTAGGTTGTTTCTTTTGGTCCATTCATCCTGAAATTTACATACAATGTAAAGGGAAACAGGTATTTTCAAATTATGTCAAAAACTGAAAAACGTCAAAAATGGAGATATGAGGTTTTCTTCCGACAACAGCGATATATACGAAACATTTATGAGGAGATTAGTTGTGAGACAATCCACTTGCATGAGGAAGGAGAAAGTCAAAGGAAAATAAGTGGAAAAAAAGGAGCCTCTGAAACTGGAGTTCAAAAATGGGGCTCCTAACAACCACCTGGAAGACCTGGTCGACACCAAAACTGCCCCATCAGATAAACAGCACTTAAAGCTTTCATCTCTGAGAGAGAGGAGAAAATCAAGCTGCTTCAGATCTGAAAACATCCACAGGTGTTTCTGTCCATCCTTCCACTGTGAGAAGACGACTCAGCGCTGTGGGTCTGAAAGGATGTGTAGCTGATCAAGAAGAACCTCACTGAGAAGAGAAGAACATTTTGCTGCTGTCGGAAGAAAACCTTGTATCTCCATTTTTCAGTTTGTGAGGTAATTTGAAAATACCTGTGGCTCTTTACATTGTGAGTAAATTTCATGAAGAATGGACCAAAAGAAATGACCCAAAATGACTTGGAAAAAACTCTGGTTCCATTGACTTACATTAAAAGTAAAGTATGTTTTTTCCTTCTCCTGTAAAGTTACCATTTTGGAGATACGAAGTTTTCTTCTGACCACAGCGATTAGCTAATCAAACAAAGAAGCTGCTGGAGTTCTCAGAACAATGGACTGACCACCCCAGAACCCAGACATCAACATCACTGAATGCGTTTGGATCGTGAGAAGCATTCTTTTCAGGAGACGTGCTTTCAGTGTCTCAAAGAAATCTGCAGACACACCTCCGAAGTTCATTCTTAGAAGTTGGTTGCACTTTCAGTCCAAACACATTAGAGAGGGTGGTCTCTGTACTGCAGGGGTGCAGTCCTCGAAGGCCAGTGTCCAGCACTGTTTTGAGGTTCCCCTACTGAAACACACCCATTAGACCTGCCATTGAACAGATGAGTGTAATCAGGTGTGTTGGAGCAGGTAAATCACCAAACTGTGCTGTACGCCGGCCCTCCAGGACTGGAGTTGTGCACCCCTGCTGTACTGTAAGTGAAGTCAAAAGTGTCGAACTATTGTCTGTAGTAATCTGTCAAATGCTTCAGATGCATCAGATAGAGATTAGGTTGAAACAGGCTGGACGATTCCTATGATGACCTACTGAACGTGCCACAAGTCTCAGACAGATTTGGAATAGGCCAGTGAGCCTATTGGGTGTGTGAGAGTGTGTGGCCTGCTGAACCTTTGTTTTCCTTTGTTGTAGCGAGCGCAAGTTAAGATCTACCTGACATTTACATTCATTCAGTCAGAATAAGATCAGTCGATCAGTTCATGCTGTTCCTTTCAGGTGCTTTCCCTCAACCTCACTACTAATCTTGAGCACAGTATAAGCACACAGTGGGTACATACAAACACATCTACATCCCACAAAGTTCCACCAGGTTCGGACCGTGAAAGCGAACCTTGCCAAGGGTCGGCTCTGTTCGGTCAGTTGTTGTTTGTCTTGTCATCGCAATCATCTGCATTTTGGTTGCTGAATGTTAAAACATCGGCCCGTTGTGTGCGATGTGTCCAGTGAACATTTCAGATATTCAGCAACGATCTTACACGATGCCATGTGGTTCCTTGTTGTTCAGTGTCATACGCTAAAGAACATGCAGGGTTCTTGTTAACCAGAATAGCTTTTATCATAGTTTATAGTATGTTTTTTATGGGTGTAAATATTAAGGTGAAAATATGAATCATTATAATAGATCATACTAATATTCAGTATTATTATTATGACCACCTCCTTGTTTCTACACTCATTGTCCATTTTATCAGCTCCACTTACTATATAGGTGCACTTTGTAGTTCTACAGTTACAGACTGTAGTCCATCTGTTTCTCTGATACTTTGTTAGCCCCCTTTATTCTGTTCTTCAGTGGCCAGGACCCCCATAGACCCTCTGGTACTATTTGGGTGGTGGATCATTCTCAGCACTGCAGTAACACTGACGTGGTGGTGGTGTGTTAGTGTGTGTTGTGCTGGTCTGAGTGGATCAGACACAGCAGTGCTGCTGGAGTTTTTAAACACCTCAGTGTCACTGCTGGACTGAGAATAGTCCACCAGCCAAAAACATCCAGCCAACAGCGTCCTGTGGGCAGCGTCCTGTGACCACTGATGAAGGACTAGAGGATGACCAACACAAACTGTGCAGCAGCAGATGAGCTATCGTCTCTGACTTTACATCTACAAGGTGGCCTGACAAGGTAGAAGTGTCTAATAGAGTGGACAGTGAGTGGACACAGTGTTTAAAAACTCCAGCAGCACTGCTGTGTCTGATCCACTCAGACCAGCACAACACACACTAACACACCACCACCACGTCAGTGTTACTGCAGTGCTGAGAATGATCCACCACCCAAATAGTACCAGAGGGTCTATGGGGGTCCTGGCCACTGAAGAACAGAATAAAGGGGGCTAACAAAGTATCAGAGAAACAGATGGACTACAGTCTGTAACTGTAGAACTACAAAGTGCACCTATATAGTAAGTGGAGCTGATAAAATGGACAATGAGCATAGAAACAAGGAGGTGGTCATAATGTTATACCTGATCCGTATATATATATATATATGAATACATATAACATTAAGAAGACAAAGTCATTTAAAGTGGTTTGGTGTGAAATGCTCCATTCTAGAGAAACAAGAGTTTCAGTGGTGGTGATGGGAACCAGACATCTGAAGAGTTTGATGCTTCTAAATGTTCCTCACAGAAAGTTATTACATGAAATGGTGAATTACATATAATATATGTATATATATAAAACGTATTTACAATAGTTTTGAGAAGGTTCTGGTTTAATTTAATTTATTTTTAACCCTTGTGTGGTGTTCAGGTCAGTGGGACCCATTTTCAATGTTTATCAAAAGAAAATGATGCGATTTATTATTATTTCAGCCTCAGATTCTTGTCCTTTGCTCATTTTCTATGAAGAACATATAAAATAACCCATTTTCAGTGCCTTCACTCTGTTCACCCCCCACACATTTATATTACACATGTGGTGTTGGGTGAACCCGCGGGGAGTAAAAGTGTGGAGGTGCTGTGTCCTTCACTCTGTTCTCCTCCTACATGGCCTGCTGTTAGTGTGTGTGTGTGTGTGTGTGTTTGTATATGTGTGTGTGTGTGTGTGAGGGTGGACAACATAGACAGGCTGCTGACTGGCTACAGCTGCTAAAGGAGAACCCTTCGCTGGGCACTTGTGATATTTTAAACATCTGGTATTTTTACATAAATTGTTTTGGCTGTATTGATTTTAAAAACAATAATGCGGTTGGTCCAGCAGACCACTGGGTAAAATCCATTCTTTAGAGGCCCATGATCCTGCATATGTTCTAAGGCAAAAAGTCTGCAAAGAAAACTTCAGATTGACCACAATTTTACCACTTTCAATATTACATATAAAAACTGAGAAGATGCGTATATGTTCACTGGCGATTTAGGATAGTAAATAAAATGGCTATATTTGCATTGTAGACATTGTGACCCCTGGTTCCTATCACCACCACTGTGAAGCACTGGAGCCTTTCACATCAAATCACACTGAGGGGAATTTTTTTTTAAATCAGTGGACTTCCCCTTTGAGTATGCTGTAAATATCCTTTACAAAAAGCTGTAGGTTCAGTCCAAATCCATTGTCTCATATGTTGTGAAATGTAAATTTGTCCTGCATTGTGTCCCCCATGGTCATAAACGTGTGTTATGTGTGTGTATATGTGTGTGTGTGGCAGGCAGGGGCGTCCTTGACTCATTCGTGTATTCTCTGTGTCTGTGTGTCCCTGTTTCCATGGCAGCCGACGACCCCCGGCCTCACCCACCCGACCAATCAGATCCACAGACTCCTCCCTCTTAGACTATTAGCCCCTCCCACCACCGTGAAAGGCAAAGGAGACAGGCACGCCCACCTGGTCAAAACCCACCCCTTCAGTCCTCCTCTTCTTCGGACTGACCCCACTCGCTCTACTGCACTGCTACAAACACCAATACACCTTCACGCACTACTGGAATTAGAGAGAGCTACAAAAAAACAAGTGACTTAAACCCTCTGTCAGAAACGCCCGAGTATGACCGGCTGACCGATATATCAGTTTCGCTGATATTTATCAGCGATATTTATTCATCAGAATCGACAAAAAATCCTGCCAATAAACCATTTTGTTAATTTTCTAAGCGAAAAAAAATAAACACAAGAAACAAACATGGCACTTTTCTACAGACTTCAGTGCACAATTTTTATTTATTATTTGAGTTATACTGAAAAATACAGCATAATATATAACATGTGCACAGGCCACATGTGATGTTTTATGTTTTCCCACTATGTTCAATTCAGTAAACTGTGTAATTGTGCACTAAAATTGTGCATTTAAATGTGCAGACGTGTGTTTAGTCTATAGAGGATATGGTAACTTATTTACACTTAGAAAATGAACAGAAAAATCCAGTTTGGTCAGGGGTGTTCATACTTTTGCACAGGACCTCACGAGGATTTATTGGTGTCATAGTCGTATGCTGGGCATCAGGAGCGGAAAATACTTCAATATTACATTAAAAGATTTACACTTTACTAAGGTTTTATTAGAACTGAATACAACTTTTACACTGTTATATTTCCAAAAAAACAAAATTGGTAAACATGTTTTCATTTAGAGCTTCAAAAGCACTGAAAAATATCAAATACCTACGGAGCCCGCTGCCCACACCTGTGCTAATTCGTCTTTGTGTGTGGCAGAGATGTTCACAAGTCACTTTATGCGAGTGACCAAGCATTATACTAAAGTAAACCTCTGTTAGATTCAACACGGCTTCCATTAACAAGCTTTTCTTTATAGAAAACCCTTCAGTCGGAAGGACAGAACTGAAGTGCTACACAGTAAATAGGATGTTTTAAGAAAAGAGGCAATTTGAAATGGTTAGTCTGTAGTTCAAGGGCTTCCAAAGTCTGGACCCAGGGGCAAACGCAGGACAGAGAGAGTGTTAAACTGGCCTGTGGCTTCTGTTTTAAGGGTGTGTTGTCAGTGGCCTGCCAGCCAGCACCTTGCAGTTCTTCCTTTCACCTGATGGTGGCTGCAGTTCTGTAAAAATACAGTGTAATGCCAGAGCCGGTTTATGAGGAGCTTGGCCACTTCCTATTTCCCCCGTTATATCAAAAACAGGACTGCTAAACAGCAGAGGGCGCCCGTGAGCGAGTCCTCAATGAATGGGAGTAAATGGAGCTCAACGGCTAAAAACAAAAAGTTAAAATAGTTTCTAATCACTGAACCAGAACTTTCCTTTAATTTTAGAAAGTAGAAGGATGGATTTCACTAAAAAAGCAAAGAAATCTCACCTGTATGTTTCCTTTATTCTACAGCAAACGGGTTTTGGGCAGCAGCACTACTGCTACTAAGTGCTGATTGGATGGCAAGCAGAGCAGCTTATTAGCTGTTTTAAACTCCTATAACTCAAGTATAAAAGCTCTTAAAAATATAACAGCAGTGTTAAAATGTTTCATGCTGTTCTGTGTTCAGGAAATGATTGTATTCTTTTATGTTAAAAATGTTTAAGCATTTATAAACTATGATTTGCGCAAATGCTCCATATTAATCCATTCATTTGGACTCACTCAGGAGCGCCCTCTAGTGTTTGAGAAACCCAGAACACATTACAGAGTGGTCATTCTCCTCTCTACAAGTTCTCTGAGTGCCTATGTGAGAACAGAAGTGGCTACAGCAAAAGCCACTAAATAGTCAGTGTCCTGTCATTTACTCACCGAGACAACAAAACCCAAAAAAATATAAATTTTTCTTTAATTTGTCTAACAAATTATATCTTATATCAAGTAAACACTTGAATAGGAATATACTTAATACATTAGACCTGTTTTATTGTGTCTCTAAAACAGTTATTTGTTATAAGTGCTTACAGATCCAGATTGCTTTGAGCAACCTAACCATATAGGAGCTTCATGCATCTTTTACGCAGTGATAGGAAACACAGTAGCTCACAGAAAAGCTCAGATTTACACTGAAAACTCAATATTGTGAATCATTTATGAATAATAAGTCAGCCCTTAGGTCTCTTGTCACATCACCGAATGATCTGTCCTTCTTTGAAAAAAAGTTTGGACACCCCTGCTGTAGTTGTGGAGCTTGTATGCTAGCTAGCTTAATAGCTAATCCAGCTGAAGTTCTAGTTTGTTCAGTTTGTTCACTAAATTAGCTAGTATAGCATGCTTGCTATACTAACTACAGACTAACCAACGGTTTCAAGTTCCTCTTTCTTTTAAACACAACATTTACCATGTTTATTGCTTCAGTTCTGTCCTTCAGACCAGTGGTGGACAAAGTACACAAATCATGTACTTGAGTTAAAGTAGAGATACCCAGGGTAAAATATTACTCCAGTAAAAGTAGAAGTTCCTCCCTTTAGACCTCCACTTGAGTAAAAGTACAAAAGTATTTACCTTCAAATGTACTTAAGTATCAAAAGTGAAAGTACTAATAGATTAATTATGAATGTCCTATTATCATTTTTGTAGCAAGACTCGCTTCATGAACTCATTTTAGGTGAAAATACTCCAGTGTCTCTCTTGGTAAACCAGTCTTTTAATAGAGTCATTAATTAGTGACGCTGATGTCTATTAAAATTATCATAAGCACAAAACACTGAAGGCGAACAGTTTCCATCAGGTAGAACTGAGCGGCTCTGAAATCACTTTTTACAAACAAGCAAAGTTTCAGTTTAAGATTCATTTGAAACTTAGTTACAAGTTTAAGTTTAATAAAAACTTTAAACTCAGATTCACAAATGAGTTTCCTTTACTAAACTGCATCTGTAGGTCTCTGTTCATAAACACAAACTAGCCAAAACTAATTTACTATAAAATGAAATAATGTTTGTATAAATTCAGAATAAAGACACGTCAGTCACAACTGCATATGAGTACATATTTCTATATTGTGGTCTATTTACACAAAGTTAGGTTAGTTCATCATTTATGTTGAATAGACTCTCCCAAAATTTTACACTGCTGCACTGATGCTGAACGTGGGGCTGCACTGGGTCGGTATGACCAACAGGTCAAAACAAGCTCAAAACAAAGTGACCCCTGTGCCCTGATTGGTGTTCTTGCTTTGCGCTTCGTTCGTTTTGACATGTTACATTTTTATACAAACATAAACCAAAAGAACGACAGATTTCTCATAATGTAGCGGAGTGAAAGTAAAAAGTCACCCAAAATGGAAAAATTTCAGTGAAGTACAGATACACGACAAAACTACTTAAGTACAGTAACCAATTACATTTACTTAGTTACTGTCCACCACTGCTTCAGACTGAAGGGTTTTATATCATGAAAGGCTCACAATTTAATGCGATATCAGTACCGGGCGCCAGTAATTTTACATTCCTAGTAGAATCGTTGTTTTTCTTTCTATTCGAGGAGCCGTTGGCATTCGGACAGCAGAACCTTATGACACAGGGTTTAAGTAAAGCTTGCTAAGTCAAATATTCCAAACATACTCAGACATTTTCATCTCTGCTCACTCTACACTCACTCTGTGACCCTTATTAGGCTTTATGAAAGGTGCTAGGCCAAGACAGCATTATAGTCAAAATCCATCTTTCTGTTTGCGTTTTTTATCTGTTCGTTTGCCTTATATATGAATATGTTTGCTGTCCTTCATTTCTTCCTTCGCCATGCTTTTCTACTGCCACTGACCAGTCTTTAAGTTCTGTAGTGACCTGTTTTTACTGCTGTATGAAATGGCGACTGCATCAGGGGCCTTTTCTGAAGCAGATGCATTATCTCTCCAAAGTGGCACCTGGAGAATCAAGGATAACTGCATCTCTGGTTTTGGAGTGTGCCTTTATACCCATTTCTTTCTGTCATGTTCTTTTGCTTTGTTTTGTTTTGTCCTTCTGTTTCTCGGGCAGCGGTCCTTGAAGTCACAGGCCGGAAGACGACATCCAGCTAACGTGAAGGGTAATGAGCTTTCTGATGGTTTTGGTTTGAATATACGAGCTCCTTCTGCAGAGCTGCGCACTCTTTTCTCTCCTATTGGCTGCGATATGGAAGCTCATCATCATCTCAGCAGGTAGAGGAGAAAAAACTGACTACATACGGTGTTTTTTCTTTTTCTTGTTTTCTGGCATCAGTATGTCTAAAAATGGACTTAGAATCTCGAAATAATGATTTATTTACTCAAAATACTGATTTAGTGTCTCATAAAAATGAATTATTTTCTCAAAATAATGATTTAGTATCTCATAAGAATAACGTATTTTCTCAAATATGTACTTATCTGAAAATAATTACTTTTTTCTCAAAATATTGATTTAGCATCTTGAAATAATGACTTATTTTTCTCAAAATATTGACAGTACAGAATTATTTTGAGATACTATCTTATTATAATCACTTTATTCTCAAAATGTTCACTTAATGGCTCAAAAATAGTGACTTATGTCAAAAAATGGTTTAGTATCTCATAAGAATAATAGTTTTTCAAATATGTACTTATTATCTGAAAATAATGACGAATATCTCAAAATAATTACTCTTTTTATCAAAATTTTGACTTTGTGTCTCAAAAATAGTGGCTTACTATGTCAAAATAATGGTTTAGTATCTCATAATAATAAATTATTTTCTCAGATATTTACTTCATCTGAAAGTACATCTGAAAATAATGATATTCTCTCAAAATATTAACTTACTACCTCAGAATATTTAATCTTTTTCTCAGAATATTGCCCCAGCTTGTTTTCTTAAAATATAAAATACCGCCGCCTGAAACGTTGAAGAAGAAAAAAACAGGTGATTTTTCTCCTCCATCTGGGAGGAATGAGCTTCCATAAAATGGCAGATTTACTGATTTGTTACTTTTATCACAGCCTAAAACTTTCAGCATTGTGTTTTTGTTTTGGTCCGAATTTAACGGAATATTCCAGTATTTTTCAACCTGATCTCTGTCCGTCACATCCGAAATGAATCGTTAAAACCACGAACAGTCATTTTGAAATGTTTCTGCGAACTAAAGGAAAGAACAGCACAGGTCGTCTACAGAAACACTTACTACAGATGTTTTTGGGCAGACGCTGAATTCTGTATGGA